ATATTATTATATCAACATCTAACAAGGGGTTCAATAGGTAGACATTTAGTTCATCCCAGTGTTTTTTTAGGCTTCTTACATTAATTTGAATGATGTGTAGAATCTGCTTTTTGTTTGCTATACCCTCTTCAGCTATAACTTTTTGGGTGTATCTGTTCCAGTCTTTAAATGAGTTACATGTGGCCATTTTAATGAATTTTGTTCAAGTCACTTTCACTTTCGATACGTATTGCAGCCTTCCCCTCCCTTTGTCTGACCAAAATTTTGCCGTTCTTCATCCATACATAGTTGTAGCCCTGTTCCTTCGCACAATCTTTTGCGGCCCAGAAAAGCCATCTCTGAAGCTTCGTCAGGTTCTCATTGACGTAAATTCGCTCTGCTTTCAAGGCGGTACGTTTGCTGATCCACTGGTTCCTTTCTGACCTGTCATTGAACCGCACAATGATCGCAGGAGTTTTGCCTTCCCTTGCTCTCAATCTGTGCATGGATTCAATCTTATCAGGCTGGGGTACGGGAAGTTTCAGCTTTCTTGTTAGGTTATTCATGACCGCTGATAAGTCCTCCTCGTTGTTTTGAGCGACACCATGAATTTCGATGTTCATTCGTCGTGAATATTGTTCCGCGTTCTCCACTGCCCATTCTAGTTCTTTAATTCTTTCGTCTCTTTCTCTCCCGAGTTTTTCGATTTCATTCGTCCTTTTTTTCAGCTCGTTCGTGACGCCTACCAATGAGTCCACCTTTTTTAGCAAGTCATCATACTGGTTCGAAAGCATGGTGGCCGACTTTTCTATTGCTTCGATCGTTTTCTCTTGCCTGTCCAGTTTCTGTATCATCGTATCGTGCTTTGTTGACTGCACATTTATCTTTATTTCAATTTCATCCATTCTGTTCAAGACCTCTGTCAGTTTTCTGTTTGTTTCTTGCAGTTGTGTTAACACAGCTCTTTGCCTCTGATCTTCGGTTTCATAGGCTAACTCTGCTGCCTCATTATTGGCTTGTGATGATTGTCGCTGGTCATGTATTTTACAAGTTGTGCATCGCCAAGACAATAAATCAGCGGTCGTCATGCTTTTTAGTTTGGTTTTGCTGACACCCGAACATTTTCCAGTATGATAGAAATGTTTGCATTCCGCGCATTCTAATGCTTGGGTATCTGGTGTCACTTCTTTTAAACACACTAAGCAATCGCTTTGGTTTCCAGACAAGGGCATGATTCACAGCAGAAATTGGCAGTCCAGCGGAGAGTCAGGTGCTAACAAAAGGTCAAGCAAAGGCTTGCACCCACCTGAGGGTCAAAAACGGTGTTGTTAGGCCCGTTCCGAGCACTCCGCTGGACTGCAGTTCCTCCACGTCAGGTGCCCGCTTATATGCGCTGCATGGGCGCCGTCCGGTAGGTGTTCATCCGCGCTGTTCTTTGTTGCTTGTCATCAACGGCCCGTGCGCTAGGAAGCTGCGGCTGCGATGACTGTGCAGTCGCCGTTGATCGCCTGTTCCAGTTGGTCGTTTGCCTGAGGGTCAAAAACGGTGTTGTTAGGCCCGTTCCGAGCACTCCGCTGGACTGCAGTTCCTCCACGTCAGGTGCCCGCTTATATGCACTGCATGGGCGCCGTCCGGTAGGTGTTCATCCGCGCTGTTCTTTGTTGCTTGTCATCAACGGCCCGTGCGCTAGGAAGCTGCGGCTGCGATGACTGTGCAGTCGCCGTTGATCGCCTGTTCCAGTTGGTCGTTTGCCTGAGGGTCAAAAACGGTGTTGTTAGGCCCGTTCCGAGCACTCCGCTGGACTGCCTCGTGGTAAGCGCTTTAGTAGCGCCTTGTTAGCGCTCCAGTAGCGCCTTGTTAGCGCTCCAGTAGCGCCTTGTTCGCGCTCCAGTAGCGCCTTGTTAGCGCTCAAGTAGCGCCTTGTTAGCGCTTCAGCAGCGCCGTGTTAGCCCGTCATTACCGCTTATTGTACCGCGGTGCTGCGGATTAGCAGGTGCACTGCGGTTTGCATCAGCAGCACCATAGCGGACATGTGGGATGCTGAAATAGAAATGCGACAAATGCGCTTAGATACGCGATTAGTGCATATCTGTGTGGACGGCTTAACTCCCAGAAGAGCCTTTTGGGTGCGCGAAATCTTTCGCCACCGAGATACCGACGGGTATTCGGCGAATTGTTCCTGGGATGAGGAACCGAGACACAGAGCTCTTTCGAAGGCGATTATTTTTACCTGCGTGTCCTTGAAACCAGCGTCACACATATCGAATTGAGAGCTATGAGATCGTACCCAATCAATTAGTCGCTCAGAGTCCATGACTCTGGGTCGCCGGCCCGACCCTCTGCTTAGAGAGCGGCTTTTACTTCCTCTTCTTTCAATGCCAAAGGAAATAGAACAACCAAGGAATCGCCGTGCACGCGCTATTCCGCAGCAGCAAGCACGGCACAAGGGGCGTGAAAGCGCTAACAGAGCGCTTCTGTAGCGCTAACAGAGCGCTAACAAAGCGCTTCTGAAGCGCTAACAGAGCGCTACATCACTCGCCAGGAAGCGCCACATGAGCGCTCCTTGGAGCGCTCACGTAGCACTAACTTAGCGCTCCGCTGTATGTGTGAACCGGCCTTAAAAGAGATGACGAGGAGTGAAGTTCGTAACTATCATCTTTTGGGCACTAACACTACTTCCGGCCATGCATTTAAAAGTACAAATTTTAAAAAAGAAAAACGTCTCCAATATATACAACTTAAAAGTGAAGAAATGTCAACAAGTTTGTTGTACCGGTGTTAGTTTCTACTTCCGTACAATATTTTGAATTGGTTTTACACGTCCAAACAAAACACCAAAGGGAGCGAAGTTGGCAGAAGAACGCGAAGAGAAAGCTTTTGGTAAACCTCAGAACGGCCTGCCGACATTTCACAAAAAGACCTAGCTTCTTCAGTGGAACAAGCTAGGTCTCTTAGCGCTGTCTGAGGTTCACCGGAAGCTCCTTCTTCACACTACCTATACGTAGTTATGCAGTTGTGTCTCCTTAGTACACGAACCCCGTTAATAGAAATACCAATTCAGTGGACTTAATAATCGACGACAAACTGGGTACATACATTTTAGTCCCACTACCATGGACAGCTCACATTATGAACGATTTGAGCGGAAATAACGTACCCATATTAACGAGACATGACTTAATGTGTGTGAAGCGCTTGAAGGCAGTTGTATTGAAATCACTGTCATAAAAACCTATATTACAGAGCACCTGCTGTCACATAATGAGCGGTGAAAGACCCCTCATAAAGGACGATGTCTACTTCACGTTTTCAGGCATTTTTTTAGATAAATTGAAGAAAAGTTTATTATGTATGCCTGGTCAATTAGTTACCCGTTTATTTTTCTCACAATTCATTACCAAAGAAATCTTGTTTCATAGATGGGTCTAATGATGTATGTATGACATGGTGGAACTGCATCGAAAGGTTGTCGATAATAAAATTGAGCAACCGCGGCAAGAAAGATTATTTCTACCTTTGTCCGCATGATTAATGTTCAGTATTTATGCCTGATGCTGCCATGACCAAACGGTTGGTATTGATTTAAATAAACTCTCCAGTCGACCTCTAAATCTCAGCTTCTATTTCCAGAATTGTCACAAGTTCTCCAGAACACCAAAAATACAAAGAGAGTAGGTTTTTGGGTATTATGGGATGATCTGAGCTGCAGAATAGATAAAGACTCGAGGTTGAGTGTGATGTTCCATGGCCTTTCTTCCAGCGGGAACATTTTTTTCACGGTTGTATTATCACAATGTTTATAGAGCAATATACTCTGTCGCAGGGATGAGCAAAATACATGCAAATATGTATCGAAATACAAATACAAAATACTTCGTCAAAAATGTATTTAATTACAAACCTAATTACATTTCCGAAAAAAGCATTTAAGTACAAGATACAAATACAACCAAATGTATTTGGTCTCCTCCAAATACTTTTCCAAATACATTCCTCAAAATTTGCGTCAGCGACTACAGGGCACCTGCAACGGGTTTCTGGGTTTCTCATTTTACTTTTGCATCGCACACTCGAGAGCTAGTGTGCGAGGCTCTAGTAACGTAATAGAAATATAATCACAAAAAAAAATGTAATCAGCTTGGGCGTAATAGGTGAAAAAAGTACAGAGCTTCAAGCAGCTTTTTTTTGTCTATTACATTTTGGTATAGAGACCAACAAAGAACCGAGACGACCAAGACGTGCAGCACTAGCTAGAGATTTTTTTATTTTTGCAACTCATACTAGTTACGAAAATCTGGACGACCCGCGCATTTAGAATGTTCCAGGCAAAAATATGGATGGAAATCAGGCTGGAAAGCATCACAAGTTGTCACAGGCACTTATTTAGCCAGTCTGCCTGTGAACGTCGATTTCGTCACTATTCTTGCCCTGGACTAGCACCGTAATCGCAAAGTCACTAAACGCTTGTGCTTGACTGAGAGACAGTGTATTCGGTGCAGAACGCAGTTTTCTTCCTGTTCTGGACAGTGACAATAAATTTGAGGGATGTATTTTCGCCCACAAAAATTGTATTTAATTACAATTTTATTTGAAATACCCACGTTTTAGTATTTAAATACACACGTCAAATACATTACCCAATTTGTAATTAAATACAAATGCAAAATACACAAAGTATTTGAAATACGTATTTCAAATAGCTGTATTTGAAATACTGCCCATCCCTGCTCTGTCGGAACAGCTTCCAGTATTCAACATTTCTGTGGCATGTTGAGGGAAAGAAGTAATGATTAAAGTGAACACGGAAACAGCAATTTTTATGCAGCTGTAGAGTGCTTCAACATGTTTACAGGGGTACAATCAGAACAGTATCAAATAAATTTTAAGCAATCACCGTTTACTCTTCTCGATGTAATAGTGAAAAATGACGTTGAGAAGGTCGTAATTCAATACTGCGTTAAATAACTTTATTATACATTAAACAGCGTATAAAATACACAAAGAGCCTAAGGTACATGTCTTCATCCAAAGAAACCACCGTGGCCACCGTAACCACCACCGTATCCACCGTAGCCACCAGCGTAGCCACCGCCATATCCACCATATCCTCCGTATCCCCCGTAGCCGCCGTATCCTCCGTAGCCGCCGTATCCTCCGTGGCCGTAGTGCGCCCTCTGGTTGTCGTAGTGGTGGGTAACGGCGTGGCTGTAGCCTCCGTGACCACCGTAGCCGCCATGTCCGTATCCGGCGTGGGCCACGGCGACGACTACCATCAGGAACAGGCTGCACAGCTACACATAAAATGGGCCCCAGTTCACTCAATTCTGCGCTTATATGGACGCGACAGTAGAAAGCGTCGAACCAAGGGGGAACCGATCAAACGCGCCCAGTCGCTTTGCTTCTATTACCCATTAACGATCTCCGTATCTCGATTCGATGCACTACGGTTGCATCCACGTATCCTCGGCTACTGACACCTTAAGAATAGCAAAAGTGGCTTATAATGTTGGCGCTTCTTGCATCGTGAGTCGTTCCTCGGTTGTTTCACCGGCTAATGTCCTTAATCTCATTGGCTGAGGAGAGATAACCGTTCACTGACACCTTAAACGTGCCTTCTTTCTTTTTTTCTTTTTTGATCAACTGTATACGGAGCGCAAGTTCGTCTGCTCTTTGCCCAGGAGTTGCCGTGACGTCAGAACGCCGAACTTTAATTGGCTTCGATTGGATGGATTGTGGGTAAACCTCAAGGCAGCGAGCATTGAAGTCTACCCCTCTCCTTCCAATCACAGCCAATCAGAGCTCGGCTTTCTGACGTCACCGCAACCCCTACGCAAGAAGCAGACAAAATTGCGCTCCGCATAGACGCTGACAGTTTAAGAAATGCGGAGCTGGGTTCATTATGCTCGTTCTTCCTGCTTTGTGATTGGTTCTGCTGAGTTGTTTTCTCTTCTAATGCCTCAATTTGATTGGCTGCTGAGCGATGATAAAAAATTCCCTGGACTCGACTCGCCCTGTGTTTTTTACGTCGTCGGATACTATAAAATACATCCTGTATTTTAGAGTTGATTGAAAGAACTTAGGAAGTTACTAGACTGGGCGAAACCAGCCGCTTTTAGTTTTGTGCCTTAAATAGCGCAATTGTTCTCGCTTGGGTGTCATCGTTAAGCACTTTACGGTCATCGTTAATCACTTTAAGATTTTAAAAAATGAGAGAGAAAAAAAACGAGAGTTTATATATATATATATATATATATATATATATATGAGAAAAACAGTTTTTGGCGAATGTTCATCGAGGCATAACGTCCACGGACACGGTATGAATTTGAGTTTTAAGCGCATTCGCGAGTCGCTCGAAGAAATACCTAAATTAACGGTAATAAAAGGAAGTATTTAAATCGAAACTTCGGAATGGAACTTACGAGGGACCTCATGGTTAGGAGAAGTTGTTACTTTGAAGAGTGCTGCGAGTGTGACTGGTCCTTTGAGGGATCGGTAGGCTTATATACTGCTGGCTTTTGAAAGGAAACGATCACATGATATGGCGGCGTTCATATAGCTGCCGTGTTAGAAAGGCACTCGCGGCATTTATCTTACGTTTATTTATTTATTTTTTTTTTTTTAGGGTAGAATGTTTAACTACGGCTGACTGCAGAAGTCGTTCCAAGGCAATGCCCAGTGGTCAAGAAACGGTTTAGCGGGATTTCCGGTTTGTGCGACGGTGACGCAAACAAAACCGCTAGGTTCTGCCAGTTTTCTTTTGTTTTTTATCGTACGTTTTTCTGCCCCTGTGTCCATGAGCTAATCTTCAGTATAAAAAAGTAAAATATTGAAAGAAATATAACAAAATAGGCGAAACACACCTGGGTCCTTCATCGCTAACTAGAGGTTGGCGATGAAGTGCATAAAACTATTGGGAAAACACCAGAGGTTGTTTTTGTTTTGTTTTTATTCCACGGTAGTTTGGCTCTAAAATGCGTACAGCGTTCATTATTTTACTAACATCTGCGGCGCACTGTTGCGAAGCCTCGAACCGCGGAGATTGGCTAACCGAGTATAATTTACATAAAGTCAATACTGCACAAAACTTCTACTGTTTTATTAAGACTTAAATTTTTAATACCTCGAGAAATTGCGGAACTTATATTTTGTACGATGTATTAACAAGTAAAAAAGCATCATACTTATAAAACTGTTCAATGCTGAGGCCGTCAACGGCGAATAACAAGCTTTCACTTCTTGTGCACACTGTGAGGTGGTGCAGCAGCCAACATGGTCGTGCTACGGCGATCGCATAGTCTATATTTGTTGTTCCTGACGAAACTTAAGATGCTCGTTGCAATAGAGGTATGTGCGCGTGTGTATTGCAGCCCCAGAAAGCAGCCAAAAACATCTGCACTCCGTTTTACCTCACGTTCGGCCGCAACGGACGCTACGAGCAGTCCCAGCCACTAATCTCTACTATAGGGGGCTGGATGGCGCATTGAGCTGACAGGTATGAAGCCATCGGAAGTAAGCGGCTTGTCCCGGAAGTGAGCGCTTGACAGGTTCTCAACTTTTCTGAGTTCTGGTTCATGCAGCGTTCAGGGCGACGAGTTTTTTCCTGCCATCCCAAGAGAGTCTGCTTGTTGTGGACTAACGGTGCATGCGGACCCGAAAAGTCTCCTGGGAAGTTATTCGATGTGAAGTTTTTGAAATTCTAGTTTATCAAGGTTGCGTATATCCCACGTTCCAACGCCTTATTTTCAGGATTTAACCCACAACGGGAGAAATAAAATCCAATCAAAGACACAAAAACGTTTCGGGGTCTCGTACCGATCATGTAAAATCCAAAATATTTCTTCCTTTATATCAACGTACGTCAGCTGCGAAATCTGAAAGAGGGGTCCTAAACAGATTCTTCTTTCGCTGTGTTTTTAGCAGATCTTTATACGTGTGATGATTTTCGTTAGACTGTATACCGTATCGCACGAAAAGACAATTCGCTTTTTAATTCCTCACAGGTTTTCTTGGGCCTGCCATGTTGTCAATAAATACAAGATGAAAATCGTATTATTTTGCAAAAGATCCGAATTGTTGCAAACGGCATACTTCAGTCATTCTGTGTGTATTAGCCATTTGCAATAGGCATCTCAGGACGTCTATAGGACCGGAAATTGCCGTCGCAAATATTTCAGAAACAACCGATTCTCGGCAAATTTCTGTCGTGGTAAGTGTCAAATTTAGGCTCATATATCTATTCGTTAGAACCTTCTGCGGCCGGATATAAGGTACCGTAAAACGGAGTATAGACATTTCGAGCGGCAGTTTCGTACGAGGCGATTTATTGAACGTGTGCCTGGTTCAACGAGGTAGAGGGGCTTAGAGCGATAAACCGGGGTTCCGGTCTGCACTCGAAAGTGACCCCCATAAGGCGGCTGCCATTGTACGCAAATTTGACCACACGTCACATGACCAAACCAAATACGTGACGTCACAGGAAAGATGGCAGCGCCCATGCAGCGGCTGGCCCCAGCTGGGCCGGAGCTTGTCAGATGCTTTGTTGGTTGTCGTTCGTCTCGGCGAGTTGATTTCAGACGCGGAAGCCGTCATATGAAGCCGGTCGAAAGCGAGTTCAGAGTTCAGCGTGGTGTTTGACGTAGGTATAACGTGAAAATACGGAGGAACGGTGTGCATTTCGCTGGTGACCGACCGGGATATTGCCACGGAAGAGACAATCTGACCTACGTTGCTCGGACCTCGGATTGATTCGGATACCGCTAGGATAAAATTTAAGGCGACGTCTTTGTGCTCTCGTTGACCATGGGAATCTTCGAGGTTTGCAGTGAAGCGTGTGCAATATATTTGGATACACAGTTTAGCTACGGAAATTGCGTGAGTCATGATTGGCGGTGTGCAATCGTGGTGCAGGTTCGATCAAATGACCGAGGGCTCACTTCGGTTGTGCGGCGCACCGGAAGGCTGCCTTCAAGCTGGTAGTTCCTGTGCCATGCTTAGGTGATGCTGTGGTGCTTCCGAAATTGTTCCGGCGAAGACGTGCACTTTCACGGAGCACAGGTGTTGCAGTTGGTATTGATCCCGCTGGTCTGTCGCACGTTTCGTCAACACAAACGTTTGATCCACACTCGTTACGCGAATTGCAAGCTGTCCGGACATTTCATCGAGCGTGTTACGTACCCAGCTCACGCCGCTTTGTGGCAACAGTCTGCAGTGGCTCAATACCAGAAAAGTGGTCCCATATCCATTTCAGTTCAGTTCGTCCACGGCAGTCGCCAAACCCCGAAGGAGAGGATTTATTCAGGCAGAATGCCACTAAAGCAATGCAGCTTCTTCGGTGGTCAGGATAGATTCTCTTCTGCGAGTTTTGTTATGCTGTCACGGATCCTTGTTCCAGTCCTATCTTCTATCAATATTCACTATTCTGGGACACTGCAGGTCATGCTCAGCTGTAATCGTATGTTCTGGTGGAGGTGTTGGGCACCCATGGCCCTTCACTCTGTGTGAACCCGGCGGCTCTTCAGCCGAGTTACTCGATAATGGGACACGGCTGGCGGACTATCCTGCGTCTTATACCCCCGTCGAGCCGTAAGCAAAGTCCTGACTCGAGCCTGGCAGAACAACCGCAAGACGACCAAATACCACAAGGAGTAACCTCGGAAATACACCACGAAGCACCTGAAATCCGAACCAGTTGCTGCTACCAGAAAAAACCACCGGAATTCGGTCTCCTGTCAGAAAATCCGAAGCTGACTAAGCCAACAAAGACAAACCTGTAGCGGCAAACCGTGTCCCCTCCCACCATTGTTTGCATGCCCGTCGCAAATCACACTCTGACGCTTTTTCACGCAAGCTGTATGAAGACGTCAAGGACTGGATTGAACAATATGACAGTGTCGCCCGCCACATTGGGTGGACAGACAACCAGCTCCTGCAGAACCTATACTTCTCGTGGAAGAAACTGCCGGCGCTGGTCTGAGAACCATGGATCCTCCTTAACGTCACGGGAAGTTTGCAAGACCGAGCTGAAGCGCGCATTCGTCAGCCACCATCAACGAGAGAGAGCCGCATTCTTGATTCTGTCCAGGACACTGCCCCAACGAGAGCGCCACCGCACTCGTGGAGGATGTTTTGCGCTTGATCGAGCGCCCACGCCCACCTTGATGCTACAGAAGACAAGAACCTAAGAATCCCATGCCCCTCACGTGAGGGACAACACCTTCGGCAGCCTTGTCCGCAACCCCCAACAACAGTCGAAGTGTTCATAACACCGAGGCTTCCAACATGGAATGTGCACTGCATGCCCGAGCCTGCCACTATGAACAACTTCCTGGCGTCTCGACACTCGAGTTGTCCAGCTACTACTTCGACGCCAGCCTCCCAGGCATCCACGACATCATCCACGACGTTGTCTGGGAGGAGTTCAGAAAGCTACTTCCTGCGATCAGTTGCCCGGCTTTTATTTTGATTGCCGAGATTGTTTCGGAACAAGTTTGACAGGTATTTCAACCGAGACTTCTGTGAGCGAAGCGGCATCTGACAAACCAAGGGCAACTTACGCCACAATGGCACGACGACCGCCACCGGCTGCCCCTTAGTATTCAATGCCAATTCAATGAGACACTCTAACGCCGAAGCATTCCCGACATCGTGTGTAGGTCTGTGCTCAACAAAGTACACCGAGGAAAACGTAGGTGATGCGAATGTGCGACCGAAAACCACTTTGCTACCACTGCATGAAGCCGACCATGTCTACCAAAGCAGCCCGTACCAATGAATTGGTCTGCGAGGGTTCGTGCCAAACGACCCTCGATTACGTCTCGAGGAGCGACCACGGGAGATTAAGGATTATCCTTCGGCGACCTTTGTCCCTGATGTTGAAGGTGTTGAATCGAAGATTCTTAATTCTTGATTACCGCGAAGCTCCTCATGTCCATCACCTCAACAAGAGGTAAGCACGACAAAGCAGGTGAGCGGCGATGCAGTGACAGTGGATTTGGTGTCGGTTGTCGTCCAAGGAAAATACCTAAAAATTTGCTGACATCAATTTTCTGTGTCCACTCCACGAAGCACACAATTTCCAACTTTGAGGGAGAATGCCCCTGAGTGACTTGAAGGAATAGAATGGTTGGTTGCGCTGAAAAGTGAACTGCAAGCATCACCAGACTTGGATAGCAAACAAAAATTGTTGCCAGCTATCAATTCAACGGTACAGCAAAAGGCACAGCCACGTAAGCAATACATGCCCGAGCTTGCTGCATTGATGCCGAAAACTACCAGGAAAATTTTAGGATTAGAAGCCAGCCCTGCAGGTTCAGTGCATCAGACGTCAGTGGCCGCACATGACGTATGATTACAAGACACCATCAGTCGGTCAAAGTTGCCACTCGACCAAACTGAACACCGACGTGCCAGGAGCGTCATCCGACAACAAGGTCCACAGGTACTACGACTGAACGCCTGACACGAGACTGTCGCAGAAAGAACTCGTTATGGAACCATTAACTAAGAATCAATAATTATGTAATCAAGTGGAAATAAACACATTTGATACACTAACCAGATAAACATATTTCCGCTTGCCTTCATGCCTTGAGAGTCTACACACCGAGAATTGTGTCCACTGCACGCTCTGGACCTTACGAGGACACTCGCATCTCTGACCCTTCAATATTAATTAAGGGGTCATACCAGACTGGCAGACTTCTTGCAAGGGGCTGCGCTCGTTCAACCTTTCCTGAACATGTGGTGCATCCGAAAACCAACTCCAGTGATGTGAAAATGTTATTTATTAATTTATTCCTTCCAGGGGCCTTTGTAGGCATTGCAGAGAGGATACTTAAAACTACAAACATGATAATACCATTAAAGCACACTGCTGTAACTTGTTAATTGGAAAAACAAACACACCTCTGAGCATATAGTTTAATAGTATGTGTTGATGCATTGTTATATAGCATGACACTTCCTATATCTTTCTTTCTTTCTTTATTTTCTTTCTTTCCGGATTGACCGGGAGGTGGGCAGAGACTAAAGGCGTGATGCCTGACGAGGTCTCTGTCCCCTTTACAGTTCTAACACAGCAGTGCAGGGTACATAGATTTTTGAACACGAAAATTAGAGAAAAGAACCTATAAAATTCTATACAACTCAGAAACAATAAACAACAGCATCGATCAATTATCCCACGATAATTTTTTTTTTCAGCAAAAAATTATAAAAACAAAATTGGTCAGAAACATGTTTTAACAATTCAAAAGTGAAGTATGGACATGATTTCATAAGTACACAGTACACACATATCAGAACACAATGTCACTGCCCACCAGAAGTGTCTTTAGTCTTTTTTTGAATTGAAGTATATTGCAGTTAAAATCTATTAGATCTTCCGTATTATTCAAGATTTTGGCGACTTGGAAGCATGTCGTTTGTTTTCCGTAATTGGTACGTATTTTTGGAGGTCGTCTGATTCTATGTCTAAGAGTGTGATACGCTGTGTTTTCTGGCGGAATTGCGAAGAGTTTTTTTGTGTGTATTATCTGTAACAATTTAAAATAATAAATTTGATTCACTTTAAGTAGGCCATATTTGTTGAACAGCGGTTCAGTTGGGAGATCTTGAGGCTTACCTTTATAATTTTCAAATAGTCGTAGAATCTTTTTTTGTAAGATGATCAACCTATTATAATTGGTTGCCGATGTCGTGCCCCAGACTAAAATGCAATAACACAGTTTGGAATAAAATAAAGCATAGTATATATTTTTTTTTAGCCACAAAGGTATGAGATTTCTTATTTTATAAATACATTCGATGGCTCGGGATAGCTCAGAGCTCAGTTTATTTATGTGCGTGTTCCAACTTAACTCCCGATTGAACCACACACCAAGAAATTTTTGTTCTGTAACCTCCTCTATAATTTGATTTTCGAAATATATTGCCACCTTAGTGGTGTCGCACCTATTAACGGGAGCGAAAATTATATATTTTGTTTTTTTAACGTTTAGTTGTAATTTATTATTTTGAAGCCACACTGATAGATTGCTTAGATAAATATTTGTCATAAATTCTAAGGCCGATTTAGAGGTTGAAGCAAAAAACGCGTTTGTGTCGTCTGCGTACATGACCAGCTCAGGGGATCCCAGAATATTTGTGATATCATTCACATAAAGAAGAAATAAGAGCGGGCCTAAAATAGACCCTTGCGGAACACCGTACTTTATTTTGAGTGAATTAGAATAATTGTTGTTAATATAAACATACTGCATGCGATTTTGAAGGTAGTCTTTTAATAAAGTCAAAGCGACCCCACGTATGCCGTACCTTTGAAGCTTAATTAGTAATATGTCATGTTGGATCGTATCGAAGGCCTTTCTAAAATCTAGGAATAAGCCTAAGGTGTATAATCTATTTTCAATATTGCTTATAATTTTATCCTTTACTTCTACAAGTGCCTGCTCTGCTGATTTAGATTTTTGAAAGCCATATTGACATTTGTTTAATACATTGTGCCTGGAAAAAAAATTGTCTAATCTAGAATTTATAACCCCTTCAAATATTTTTGAAAAAATTGGCAAAACCGAGATTGGTCTATGATTCTGTAGAAGGTGTTCCCCGCCACCCTTATAGATTGGAGTAACTCTTGCAATTTTTAGTTCGTTAGGAAATATTCCAGTTTCTAGAGTAAGATTGATTATATGTGACAAGATATAAGATATTTGTTGAGAGACATATTTGACAGGCCTTGGCTTGAAGTCGTCTACGCCAGCTGCGGCATTATTTTTAATTTTATTTATAAGCCCTTCTACTTCATATGGCGTAGTTGGAAATAGCATTATCGTGCTTGATAAGGAAGTCATTGCGTCTGTGATACAGCATTGCGAAGCGTCTTCGTGTTCTGGTGGTGAACCAACGTCAACAAAATGCATATTCATTAGATTCGCCATTTGCTGTCCACTCACGTTCCTGCCGTCGATAGTGACACTCTGCGTTACCTGCACACGTTTTTTCCTATTAGTAATTTCGTTCACAGTTTCCCATATCTTTCTTGGGTCATTGTATACCCTTGAAAATATATTTTGATAATATTCGGATTTAGCCTTTTTAAGGTCGGAGTTCAATTTATTTCTTGTTTTTTTTAAATTCGATGAGAAGATTTTGGTGCCTATATTTAATAAAATTATGGTACATCCTATCTTTTGTCTTAATACGCCTGTATAAGTCATTTGTAATCCAAGGTTTTCGTACATGGTTTTGACGATTATTTACTTGAATAAGGGGAAAAGCGACGTCATAACAAAGCTTAAATTTGTTAGAAAAAAGTGCATACGCAAGGTTGGGGTCACGTTCCAAAAGGACGTTCTCCCAGTTTGTTTGCTCGAGCAGGACAAAAAAAATTTCCAGCGATTCTTCATTTATGCGTCGGTAAGGGTAAGTATCGCGTTTCGGTGTATTTTTGCCACGATAGAAAGATGTCAGACAGAAAACTGGCATGTGGTCGCTTATATCTTGTGTAAATATGCCAGATGTGGCCTCCCTAGCGTTGAGATTAGTTATACATATATCTATTGAACTAGAAGTTTCTAAAGTCACTCGAGTGGGCAGTGTCACAGCGTTAGTACATCCCCAAGCAGATAAGAGATTATTCATCTCTATTACGTAACTATTACATTTTAGTAGGTCGATGTTTGTATCACCCATAATTGAAAATGGTTTGGAGGTCGATCCAAGAAAAGATAGTAAGTCTTCCAAAAAAATTAAAAAATCTTCCTTACTACCAGTGGGGGGTCTATAAATGACAGCAACAATAACAGTTTT